GTGCCAGGCTTCGATGAACTCACAAGCATGGCGGGTGGTAGCGTGGCCGATGATTCTTGTGTTGCTCCAATCAATCTGGTGCTGTTTGGTGTGGTGTGGGTAGAGATTAATGATTTGGAGTCATGGCATTTGACTGCCAACCGGTGTTCGTAGATCCTGGTTTTCAATTGACATGATGTTTTTCCCATGTAGAATTGGTTGCAATGGTTACAGTTGATTTTGTAGATTACATTGTTTCTTTCATCCTTTTATATCTTGTCTTTGGTTCTGGATAATTCCTGGTGGAGTGTGGCTGTGGGTTTGTGGGCTATTGCTATTCCTAGGGCAGTGGTGGTGAACCTATGGCACGGGTGCCAGAGGCGGCACTCAGAGCCCTCTCTGTGGGCACGTGCGTCGTCACCCCAGTCCTAGGCCTTCAGCTGGGTTTTATAAAACCTTTTTTCTTTAGGCCTCTGTCACCATGTGCAAAAAAAAAAAAAAAAGGTTCAATCAGTCAATTTCAACTTCTTGCGGGAAAAAAAAAGTTCTTGCAAAGTTGGAATTGATTGATTGAACTTTTTAGTCCCATCCAGTCTGCCGTTACCACTGCGGCCATGCCCACCCAATTGGCCACGCCCACCCAATGGGCCATACCCACCCGGCACTTGACGATGCATAAGTGGGTTTTGGGTTGCAGTTTGGGCACTCGATCTCTAAAAGATTCGCCATCACTGTCCTAGGGGTTGGAGAATTCTGGCTGTCATTTGTGACATCCCTTTTGTGTATGGTAGGATTAGTTTTTGCGTGGTGCTTGGCTGTGTGGTGTGTTATGGTTTGGCTGCTGTGTGTCATCTTGCTGGTGACTCCTTAATGTCAATCTGTCACAATTGGAGTCAATTCACATAAATACAAACATCCTTGTGACACCATGATCAACTACAAGATACTGCTAGTTGTTTAGTAATGATCAAACTCATTGAACTGATAATGACAAAAAACTATTGTTATCAAGTTATAACAGAATACATCTGAACATATAGAAGCAGAACAAATTAAAATACTGTAGTACAATTCCAGGTATGTATGGTTTAGAGCTGACTATTTGCTATATAAAAACAACTCTGCTTTTATTTATCCCTAAACCTACATAAACCTGTAATTCTCAAAATGTCTTTTAATGTTAGTCCAGATAATTTGAGATACTATAGATGGATAGGCAATGACTTCGAAGGACAAAAGGGGTTTTTAGGCATTTTGTGTATAATGTCTTTATTGTAGAAACTAAAGAATGTTTAAAGAAAGAACTAAATTAAAGTTTATCAGTTGATAAAACAAAAGTGAGACCTAGTGTGGTGTAATAGTTAAAGTGTCAGGTTAGAAACGAAGAGACTATGAGTTCTTGTCCTGACTTGGGCACAAACCCAGCTGGGGGATTTGGGTTAGTACTCAAGACTTAGGAAGGAGACAATGGCAAACCACTTCTGAAAAATCTTGCCAAGAAAACTACAGGGATTATTAGTCCAGGCAGTTCCCAGGAGTCAATACTGATTCAAGGCACCCTGCCCCCCCAAAAAATCACAAAGTAAATGGGGTATTTGAAATCAGTTGCTACTTTATCAAGTCTCTTCATAACTGCGTTCCGCGTGTAGTTTGGGCTAAGAGATCCAGAATAGAAATTGATGCATGGAAATATATTGCTGAGCTATGGTAGGTTGTAGGAGAAAAATCTTACTGAGATTTCTAAACTCCTACTGAAATCCTGGAAACAAAGCTGTGATAGTGGAAAAATAACAAGCAGAGCTCTGACATTAAAGTGCTTGTGTAGAACTGCTTGACTAATTTTAATTTTGATGTGTTATTCTAACTATCCCTTAGGCTCAGGCTTAGTAACAATTTAAAGCTGTAAAACGTAATTTAAAATTAAAGCCTTTTTTCTTCTCATGTTCTAGATTGATGACATAATTTGAGAAATAATAGGAATTAATATTTTTCAAAGCAAATTAACAAAGTATAAGTATGGTGTCCATTTAAACAAATCTGGCGAAGGGGAATTTTTCTGGGTAATTAATTCCACTATTGTATTGCTTTTCTTGTAAAAAAAAATGTTCCCTAACATTCAGTGATAATCTGCCTTCCTATAATTTTAGTCGAATATTTTGGGTCTTTCTGTCTGAGAAAGAGAGAGCTAGACTTTTTTCTGTATGACATCCTTTCAGACACTTGAAGGGTATAATCACAGCTCTCCTTGGTCTTCTCTTGTCAAGACTTAAGATGCTGTTCTGTGATAGACTTTGACTATAGAAAAAATGGAACCATTACTTCTCATGATTTAGAATGGATATTTCTATTGATGTAGCCTAAAATTTCACCATGTATGCACACTGCCTAAAGAGATTGCCGACCCTTGTGGAATTCAGCTGTTGAGATTTTTAAAAAGTTTTATTCCTTACCAGACTTTCTCAGTTCTGTAGCTTTTAGAATTTGCCTGGTACTGTGTTTTCCCGAAACTAAGACAGGGTCTTATTTTTTTTTTTTTGCACCAAAAGACCCATTAGGTCTTATTTTTGGCAGATGTCTTAATTTGCGGCCACCTGCCCACTCCATCCCACCATGTGGTTGCTCACAGCTGCAATGGGTCAGGACAGCGTGTGTCATACCAGTGCCGCCGCCACGAATTGAGGCGAAGCAGGTGGGAGGATGGAGCTGACCCACGCGCCCCACACCTGCTTACCTTGGCCCCACAGCCAGGCCACCCATGCCCCACCACCTGCCTTGCCTCACGGTGGCACCACCCACCAGCAGCAGGAGCCTCGGCCACCAGGAGCCCGGCCACTTGGCTGGTTGCTTGCAGTCACAACGGGGCAGAAGAGCATGCATTGCACTGGTGTTGCCGCTGCCACGAGGTGAGGTGAGGCAGGTGGGGAGTGGAGCTGCCTCATGTGCCCCATACCCGCTTACTTCAGGGTCCCCGCAGCCAGGCCATTCCCTGCTCGGCAACCTCCCCCCCACCTGCTCAATGACCCAGCTGCCTGCCCACCTCTTCCCTTTCATTCACCTCCCGAGCCGGACTGCCATGCTACGGAGGATGAGCAGGGGAAGCTCAGTCGTCTTACCCGGTCCCCCTCCACCGTTTTGAAGCCGGGGGGGGAGTGATGGAGAAAGGCTCTGCTATCGCTGCGCAACAGCTGCGTCCACTGTTAGAAGGACTTTCTTTGGTCCCAGATGCCTCCGCATTGCCCCACAGATCACCTGCCCGGCAGCTGCCGCTGCTTCCTTCTTCTCTGCCTGCCTCACGCTGCCTGCTCCCTGTTTCAGAGCCAGGAGGGAGTGATGGCTGCACAATAGCCGCAATAGGGGCTTTCTTCGGTCCTGGCCACCCTGTTTCGCTCCGCAGATCACCTGCCCAGTAGCAGCCTCCTCCTTCTCTGCCAACTCTCCTGTGGCTTGCGCTGTGACCGGACAGAGCAAACCTCTCCTGCTGCCTCCCTCTGCCTGCCAGATACCCGCCAAAGCCGGGTGTCTGGCAGGAGGAGGGAGGTGGCAGAGGAGGCTTGCACCGCCCATTCCATTGGCTTCCCCTGTCTGCCCTGGGAAGCTTTGTAAGCCGTTGCAGCTGCGGGCAAGCAGATAGTGGGAGAGAGTGGGCGGGAGGCCATGGGAGAGTTAGTGGTTGGAATCACGCTAATGCAGTCTTTAGAGCGCCCCTGCCACCAGCCCTGGTATAACTCTCCCACTGCTGTGTGGGCAGAGCCACAAATGGGGTTGGTGGCCGAAACCGCCAGCCCGGGGATGATGCAGAAAGCCTACCACTGGCCTCCAGAGCTCCACCATTGAAACCATACAATACAGGCAGCAAATGTGGAGCAGGCAGAGTGATGCAGTGCAACAGGACCCAAGCGGTAAGCGGTGGAGTAGGAAGAAGCGGCTCCTGCTGGGCAGATGATCTACAGGGTGAGGTGGGGCTGGCACGGCCCAAAGAAAGCCTCTCCAGCAGCAGACGTGGTTGTTGTGCAGCAGCAGCAGAGCCTTTCACTGTCACTCCTCCCTGGCTTTGAAATGGCAGAGGGGGACCGGATAAGGCAATCGAGCCTCCCCCACATATCCTCCATAGCATGGCAGTCTGGCTCAAGAGGGGAGTGAAAGGCAAGAGGTGGGCAGGCAGCCAGGTCATTGAACGGGTCGGGAGAGGCCACTGAGCGGGGAATGGTCTATGGGGGCCCTGAAGTAAGCGGGTGTAGGGTACGTGGGGCAGTTCAACTCCCCCACCTGCCTCACCTCAACTCCCGGTGGTACCAGTACGATGTGCACTCTCCTGCCCTATTGCGGCAGTGAGCAACCAGATGGTGGGATGGAGTGGGTAGGCTCTTAACCACAGCTTATTTTTGGGATAGGGCTTGTCTTAGGCGCACGTCAAAAAATCAGGCTAGGGCAGTGGTGGCAAACCTATGGCACGGGTGCCAGAGGTGGCACTCAGAGCCCTCTCTGTGGGCACGCGCGCCATCACCCCTGTCCTAGGCCTTCAGCTGGGTTTTATAAAACCTTTTCACTTTAGGCCTCCGCCGCTGTGTACAAAAAAAAAGGTTCAATCAATCAGTCAATTTCAACTTCTCATGGGGGAAAAAAAAGATCTTGCAGGGTTGGAATTGATTGATTGAACTTTTTAGTCCCACCCAGTCTGCTGTTACCACTGCAGCCACGCCCACCCAATGGGCCACACCCACCCGGCACCCGATGATGCATAAGTGGGTTTTGGGTTGTAGTTTGGGCACTCGGTCTCTAAAAGGTTCGCCATCACTGGGCTAGGGCTTATTTTCTGGGTGGATCTTATTTTCGGGAAAACACTGTAGCATATAATAGTTGAGACTTATGCTTTCTGTATAAATATTGTCTGTTCATGCTTTTCCCGTGTAAGAGTTTTTAGAGAAAATGAGTCTCCTACAAGCCAATAATTTATATTATTTATATTATTGTCAACACCAGAGCTTTTTTGTTAATTGAACGTTACATTCTTTCAATCATAGGCTAAAAACCTAGACTTCCGCCGAAAGTGGGACAAAGATGAATATGAGAAGCTTGCAGAGAAACGACTTACAGAGGAAAGAGAGAAGAAAGATGGTTAGTAGTATGCTGACTATGCAATGCACTGCTCTATTTCATTAGTAGTTGCTAAATCAGTTTGTAGAATGAGAGGTACAAAGGACAACATTTCATAGGGAAGATTTAGCCACCTAAAGTCACCTTGTAGGGGAGATGGGCGGCATAATAGATAGATACATAGATAGACAGACTTACAAATAGTCACTTTATTTTATGTTCTTTTAAACATTGTAAAAACCTTATTTCCTGTTTAATTTACTCATATTGAACAATTAAGAAGTTAGGCTTATTTGATCTTAGATTTGGAGGAATTAAAATTAAGTTAAGAACTTTCTTGGGCAATAGAAGAAAAAACAATATTTACTGATTAAAATGAAGGTTTTATATTTCAAGGGTATATCAAATCATTCTCTCATCTAACTGTCTGTCTATCCTCATTAATTTTTTTAAATTTATATTTTAGGCAAACCAGTACAGCCTATCAAGCGTGAGCTTCTGCGGCATCGAGACTACAAAGTGGATCTGGAATCCAAATTGGGAAAAACTATTGTTATTACCAAAACTACTCCTCAGTCTGAGATGGGAGGGTAAGGTGACAGAGATTTTGTGTATTATTGTACTAAACATCTGATTAACAGAGAAATTTAGCAACTAAACTTCCAGTACTCTTTTTTCATAATGTGTTTGGAAAGAGTGGGCAGGTGATTGAACAAACTGAAATGAATCTGAACAAGATTGATAACAGGCTAGAGTGGAAAACTGGATGGATTTTTGGCAATTTCAACTCTACAGTCACCAGGTTGATCACTGTGGTGATGGGGAAGGGCCCAATGTACGTTGGTCCTAATTTCTTAGATAGTTGTCTGGACTGCAGAAATTTGGTGGAGAGGTACACTTCATCTCCAGTTTTAAAATCTTTTTGAGGAGCTTTCTTTTTGTCGGTGTATTTCTTTAAGCCTCCCTCGCATCTTCTAGTGCATTGTGGATGACTGGCCACATATTTTGCAGGGTTTTAATCCAATCGACTAGTGAGGTAGTGGCAGAGGGTATGTTGTGGGAATTCTGGCATAGAAGCAAATTCCTAGCTGGTGGCCACATGGAATGATGTGTACCCCATGCTATTGTGGACCGAATTGTTATCTGCCACTTCTGCAAATGGTAAAAGGTCCACCCAGTCGTTTTGATAGTTAATGTAGCAATGGAGGTACTGCTCCAGCACTCCATTTGTATGTTCATAAGCTCCATTAGTTTGAGGATGGTGCGAGGAACTAAGTCCTTGAGAGGTTTCCAATAGCTTTAGGAATTCTTGCCAAAATTTAGATGTAAACTGTTACCGTTGGTGTGAAATGATTCTCTCTGGAGCTCCATGGATAATTGTCCCACTTACCGGGGGGTTGTTTTCTCCTCCACTGTCACTCTCCAGAGTAGTCTCAGCTCCCTTGGTCAGAGTTCCCTCACCATCACTAGAGGATGGGATGAACTCAGGTCTTGAGATGGTTGTATGGGAGGAGTTTGACTCTGTTGCTCCCGAGGACGTGGACAGGGTCTTGGGGAGGCTGAATGCAACCACATGTTTGTTAGATCCGTGTCCCTCCTGGCTGGTACTGGCAGCTCGGGAGGGTACACGAGCCTGGCTCCAGGGAATTATTAACGCTTCTTTGCAGGAGGGTGTCTTCCCTGC